ATGACATACAAGATTCTGAGTTCACGTTTTAGACTTGCTCTAACTTTGTCATATTTTGATTTTTTGAGGAAAAAGTTTTTCGATTTTTTTTATTAAAGTAAACTTAATATTTCTCGAGTTATGAGTTCGCCTAAGGTTATGCTACGAAAATCGGAAGAGTTAAGATCTCAATCTCTGTAAATAAAGAAATCATATTTGAAAGACAGCTTGAATTATATTCTTTGAGCTATTCTGTAAATGTTTATTATAATTGCTGATGAGTTAATAATATAATTCTTTAATTATTTTTACATTTAAGTCTTAGGCATTAAAATGATATAGTATATATATACATATATATATATATGGACGATAATATTGTAGGTAATTGCGGACTCTCGCAATTAACCGGAGCTTTGGCATCGCGTGACTTTTGGGCCAAATTAACAAATATGGACGGGGCTAATGGCGTAATCTTAATCACGTACCACATATTAACGAAAGTCCAGTCACAATTAGATTTGTTTAGTTAGTAGATGTACTGCAATCATATTATTAAAGTAATTAGACGGCGATCAACTTGTCACTGAGTCGCGCTGTTTGACAATCTAGCTGCGGGTCCAAGTCTGATCTTCATGGTCAGGGTCCGCTGGGGGTACGAGTAGATGAAATCCAAAAAAAAAAAAAAAATTAAAGTTTTAAGCGTCTTTCAATAACCGGTTAAAAGTAAACAAATCATCTATACGAGATCTTTTGCCAGTTTATTCAGAGGCGGCGCAGAGCTCAATTAGCATTAACCTTAGCTGTCTTAGTCATTTTTTGAATATCCTTTCCTAATATTTATCTATTATTTAATTTATTTGAATATCCTATTTATTAAGCATAAAAGTGCTTAAAACAAGGCTCATTTTGCTTTTGTATATTCCTAAATTAATTTTTTTAAATTTAATTTGGGCTTCATTTTATTTTTGTATAATCTTAAATTAAGTTAAACTTAATTTTTACATTTGAATATGAGTTTTATTTTGATTTTTAATATTCTTAAATTAAGTTAAACTTTACTTTCTTAAATTTGGAAGCGATTTTTGTTTTTTAATATTCTTAAATTAAGTCAAACTTTATCTTCTAGCTTAAATTTAGAAGCGATTTTTCTTTCTTAATATTCTTAAGTTAAGTCAAACTTTATTTTTTTGTTTTTTAATATTCTTAAATTAAGTTAAACTTTACTTTCTTAAATGTAGAAGCGATTTTTGATTTTTAATATTCTTAAATTAAGTCAAACTTTATCTTCTAGTTTAAATTTAGAAGCGATTTATGTTTTTTTTAATATTCTTAAATTAAGTTTAACATAATTTTCTACCACAAGAATTTGCATAATTCAAACGCAATGGAAATATACAAATTCTTGATTTAAGTACTGTATTTAAGACATTTTGGAAGGAATTTTATTCTTAAAATAAGATACGATTTGTATGTAAGCTTCCAAAATGCAAAACTCGAACTAAATATATATTATGTTAGGGTATTTATGTATTCGACTTGCTCAAAAAATTAAAAAAAAAAATTTTTTTAATTTTTTTTTTAATTTAATGTGCAAAGTTTGTTAAAAGTAGCCGAGCGCCCGGGAGCTCATCAATCACGCAAGCTAGTTAGTTTTTTCTTTTTTTTTTGGCAGAATATTTGGCTTTTTTTTTTAGCTTTTAATTGCGTAAAGTCTTGCCAAAATCAGCTGGTCTTGTTAAAGATTTCTGATTACACCAATTGGACAAAATTAAACTGGAATAACAGCATAACTCGCAGCTAAAAACAACATAAGAAAATTGACAAAATTGAAAGCGAAATATTTATAAAAAAAAACTAGCCAAACCCGGGCCTAACGCAAAGCGTAAGCCGCCCCGTCTGGCCGGATTCGAGCCGCAGACGTGTTTCGAACGTTGGCCCGTTCGTCAGGTGAATCTATTCCAATTAACTGTACGACGAACAGGCGCACATAATATCCATACTTTGGGTAAATTGCGAGTCTCACAATCTCACAGTTTCGGTTTCGGTTCGAGTATTGATGCGTGCCACAAAGATTTCGATATATGTATTTGAATGGGTATTTGGTTTCGTCAGGCGGCGACAGGTTGTGCATACAAATCGAGCAAAGGCGCTGGCCCAACCTCGACTTGTAATCAAATCAAACTCGTAATCCAAAGCATAACGTTCCGGCTCCACCAGCTCCATCAGCGCCGGGACAGACAGCTCAGTACACAATTGGCCTTTGGCTGGTATTAGCGGGCGTTCGGATTTTGTCGCCAGCCGCACGATAAGCGTTTAATAAATTAATGCGACTACAAAAATAAAACACACACGCGCCTGCCCCTACACAGTGAAAAATATTGATGTCATTCAAAATTTAAGCGCGAAACTTATCGTAAAAGTGGAATATAAACAGAACAAAATTTAAAAGTGGATAAAAAAATCGTCATCTAAGAAAGAACTTTTAGCTGCATTGAACCCGGGTCCTTTCGTTTACCAGGAGAGCGCCTAGCCACCGTGCTACGCGCGCACTTAATATTGGTGATCTTTAATTAAAGAGAGAGAGAGAATAAGCGAGAGAGCGAGAGAGAGTTCATTAAAATCGAGTAAAGGCTGAGCCGTCAAATTGTGAATGATGCGATTCTGAGTGCAATCTCACTAGGATTACAATTAAAAGAAAATTGAAAAGTAGATAATTAAAAAAAAGTGTATCTATTAAGAACTTAAAGAAGCTGCATTGAACCTGGGTCCTCTCGTTTGCCAGGAGAGCGCACTAAGGCTGATCTTCAATTTAAGAAGAGAGAGAGAGTAAGAGAGAGAGCGAGAGTGAGCTCATTAAAATCGAGTGAAGGCTGAGCCGTCAAATTGTGAATGATGCGATTTCTGAGTGCAATTTCGATAGAATAACAATTAAAAGCAAATTGAAAAGTAGATAATTAAAAAAAACTTGTATCTTTTAAGAACTTGAAGAAGTTGCATTGAACCTGGGTCCTCTCGCTTGCCAGAAGAGCGCACAAAGTTTGGCTGATCTTCAATTTAAGGAGAGAGAGAGAGAGAGAGACAGTGTGTAAGAAAGAGAGAGAGCGAGTGAGAGTTCATTAAAATCGAGTGAATACTGAGCCGTAAAATTGTGAATGATGCGATTTCTGAGTGCAATTTCGATAGAATAACAATTAAAAGCAAAATGAGCTGTATATTTTTTTTATTGTGTAATACGTTAATGACTTAACTATTAAACGCGGCGAGATGCTGGCCTGAAAGTGAAACCAAAGCAACAATGAGCCGTAACCAGTCTAGTAATTGTATTTGTTATTGAACCGAACGCCGTAAACGTGACCCAGTGTCGTCGACCCGCAATGCCAAGTGGGAATGAATGGAAAAACGCTTGTAATGCACGTCACCCGGCGCCATATGCATTAAGTATTATGTAAAAAGTGTGTGTACAGCCAAAATGGGCCGAGCGAGGGCCTTGAAACTGTTTAGGATGGGGTGTTTATAAATCGTATATGTCAAGTGCAGAGCTTTTGCATACAGCTTGGACTTTATATTGCCGTGCAATAAATGATATGTGAAACGTGTTAATTGTTCTTTTTCGCAACGTTTAAATTAATTAGGCAATTTATTATTGAACAACTAATCGAAAAAGTTTGCCAGCTGTCAGAGTTTGTTTGCATTTTACACAATTAAAAAACCAAACATATGTGGCTGCATATTAATTTCCCAGTGAAATGGTGCTAAACTGTCATAAGTAGCTACCCTATGCGTGAAGGGTAGCTTGGTTTTATGGTGCATTGCAGCAAATACTCTAAATACTTAACTCATAAATCGCACGAATTTTACCTCTTAAATGAATCTAAACTCGCTTTCGCTTTAGGTATTTAGTTATGTCACATATTCGATTAAATAATCGTATTGCCCTACATATTACAGGGTATGCTGAGGAAAACTGCAGCTAGCAAAAAATCTTGTATTTACTTAATTTTCACTTTAGTTGCAACTGAGCTGCGGCTGCGTTTGCTTTCAAAGCTTAACAATTAAAGCTTATAATAATTGTTGAAAATAAAAACTAACAAATTGTCAACATGTCGGACAATTATCCACAACAAACGCAGTCAATACCCATTATTTATGTGAGTGACAAAAACACAAACAAAAAAGGTAAGCCTGTAATTATGAACAACTATTCTCTACAATTCTATTAATATTATTACTTAGATGCAGGCGATGGAACAACTGTCATTAATATTGGTAAGTAAACCCCTATATATATATATATATATATATATATATTTGCGCCATCATGCTGACTGGCGTCCAATCATCATTAGTGGGCAATATTTGGAGGTGTAGGTCAGCTGCACCTGGGTGGAATTATATTAAACAAGTGTTCAGATGGCATAGCATGTGTTTATATAGAATTTCCACTGATTGTATCAATTACCATAAAGATTAGGCGCACAGTTGTTGCGCTTGTTGCTTTTATCAGTATATAAACAGCAAATATATAAATATGTTTGCTGCGATTAGTAAGAGTTGACAACGCCAGCGTAGCAGAATATTTCATTCAGTATCAACCGGCATTTGTGCTGTGACACTTGTTTTGCTGAGGTAAAGATTTTATTTTAGATATACGCGATGTAAATAATATACTCAAACGCTGACTTATAGCTAAACAGATCTTCATTTAAAGCATCCGCATTTAAATTTCATAGAATTAGCTTACAGCCCGGCTCATTTAAATTTCGTTGTTCAAGCTTAGCCAAATAAACGTTACAAACTATCGGAGTGCGTCGATAACAGGCGATAACAGACCGGCAATAATCGCATTCCGATACTTGGTACTCAGTACTCGTACTCGATAGCCGAAATCGTTCACTCGCAACAGCTGTTTAGTTCACTCGGTCCGATTTGTATTTGTTGTGGGGCATTTTAAGCGAGGTTGGCACGCGGTGTTTGCTTTTTCGAAACGGGTTTAAGAATTGAATACGATTAAGGCAGAGCACAGCGGCTGATTTAGTCAACTGCTCGCCAATTCAATTTCAATCTTCTCGTCGTCGTGAACGTCGTCGGTTGTGTTTTTGTCTGTTATTTGTGCGTTGCGCGTACATTTATTGTCAATTAATCGCTCGCTTTTACGCCCCATTGCCACAGCTTCTGCGGTTAGCCTGTGTCTCTGTGCCCCGCCAACAAAAAAAAAACAGTAAAAGTAAATAAATATATATATAATTATAAAAAGTGAATGTGCAAGTCAGCCTCATTGAGACGGAGTAAACAAAATTTTTTATTCTTGTTTGTGTGTGTGTGTGTTTCTTCTTTTATTCCGCAGAAGCAGAAAGCGAAAACGCCGCGCCCGCACCCGCACCCGCAACCGCTCCTGCACAGCCTGATATAATGGCAAATTTCGATGATGTGAGTGTTGTACTCGATGCCAGTTGCCAGTTGCAACGGCAAAAGCAAATAAACAAAATTAGTTATGTAGTATGTGCCGCATGCAATTTATTGCGAGCACCACAACCAAAAAAAAACGACAAGGAGAGCAATAGTAATAACAATAACAACAACAATTATTAACGAACATTTGTGCACGTAACAAACATTAAGCCTTCTATTCGTCTGATTTTATTTGATTTTTGTCGTTTTCATTCGTTTTCGTTATCTTCCTATATACATGCATATGCGCTCATGTCCGTGCATCTGTATGTGTGTGTGTGTTGCATGTAACTCCACAACACGACCCGATCATTGCGAATGTGCAAAACCAACAACAACTACAACAACAATTGCGATGAACAACGAGCAGACACTGCAGCGCGCCCGTCTCGCCTTCGCCAGCGGCAAGACCAGGAACGTAAGCTTTCGGTAAGTAACTGTAACCAAAGCTGGCTTCGGCCGAAGCCCAAAACAAGCAATAGCAGCTGAGGCTGTTTAAATTTAATTATTATTATCTTTTAGTTAGTGCATGTGTAGTAAGCAGGTCGTCATGTACTGTAAATTACAAGCTTTGTCGCAACGCTGGCGGCGTCTTTAAAAAAGTAACACAATTCGTTACCACATGCAAACATTTGTATAGATGTAGTTTAAAAAAAACATGATGACACACGTACATACACATACCAAACAATATATACATGCACTCAGATATATCTGTAGTTCATTTTGGGTTCACAGTACAAACATAGAAAGAGCTTTTGAGCTCGTTCACTTGAACTTTGTGTCTTCTTTGGAGCTAAGGCGTTGCTCTGCTCTGATAAGAAATGTAGATAGCTATTTATATAACAGGACTGAAGTCTAAAAAATGTTTACATATGGAATTTAGAACAAGAGTCGGTAGTGCACACATTGGTGGCACCCTGCGCCCCATTCTGTGAATCGATTATTATCAGTATACAATCATTCATGTTTATAGTGTACCCATATATTAAAAGGGAAAAATAGCGCACTGGAACATTTGTACTCACTTTTAGCACTTTCTTTTGCACTAAATTTGCACACATACATATGCATTAGACTCTAGTGTTAAACAGGCCGCGATCTTTGATCCTATCTTCGTTTTGTTTTTTTTAGTACTTTCTCGAACTAAATTGCGACCAGCTAGAATAATTACTTTAATAGCTCGCATCTAGACATGACAATACATACAGTTATTTGGAGAGATATGATATGTACATGCATATATAAAACACACACACAGACAAGCGCCAAATTTGATATGTTAATAAACAAAAAAAAAAATACAAAGTGTGAAACGGAAGTGCGGAATAATCTTTGGCCCCCCGCGCCAAGGTTGATAGCCATTTAGTTTCATGATCTTTTTCTTGTTCAAATAAACTCTGAGGAAACGTGTCGAGTTCTGCGTTCATTTTTGTTGCTTTTCGCCTTCTTCTTTCATAGAAGCGCATAGAAAACATCTAAGCTTAAATACAAACGTAGATATATATCTATATCTATATATATATAAATACATACTATGTCGCCCAAAGCCAAAACGTTGCTTAGTATTTCTAAATTGAATATCAAGAGTTAATGCCACATGGCGATAATTGCTTCATTTATATGCGGTACGATATTTTCTATATATAATTACTATAATTTGCCTAATACACGTCATATCGCAGAATCGAGTGAAGCTAGAATTGCAACTGAATTTGACCCTGTTTAACCACTTGTTTTGATTGACTGACCGACTGATTGACGGACTGACTGAATGATTGACGGACTGACTGACTGATTGACTGATTGAGGAACAGCTGGAAACCCTAGGAATTAGACACGTGTCTAACTTAGGGGTTCGAAAATGGTTAGAAATTGCGTTGCAGACGTTTTTTTTTACACTTTTCGGACAATCCACTCCTCCCAGTGGAATTGGGGATCAAAGATTCGGACTCGAGATCCTCTCCGTTCAAACATTGCGTACAATCCACTAGAGAGTGGTGGATGGGATCAGATATTCGAGCTTAAGCTCTCCTCTTTATGAATCCACATTGCATGTTTCACACATTTCAAGCAATCCGCTCCTTCCTGTGGAATTGGGAGTCAAAGATTAGGGCTCAAACTCCTCTCCGCTCAAGCATTTCGGACAATCCATCCATTCTTAATGGAATTGGGAATCAAAGATTCCAGCTTAAGCTCCTTTCCGAGGATCTTTATGAATCCACTTTTCCAGTCGTGTTTCACACGTTTCGAAAATTCCACCAGCTTTACGAATATTTTCCCAACAAAATCGGGTAATACCAGCTGCTACACACACACACACAATTAACATGTGTATTATGTAGAACACATTGATGTTGCTAGCCTCTGAAACTTTCAGCAGCAGGTAATGCGCCGGTAGGTCGACCGGTTTTACAGTTCTAACTAGATTTCATTTAAATATATGTACATATAGATTCTGTATGTTGGCCAGCAGCGAGCAGCTGATGTCGCTTTGTTGAGTCATATGCGAAACGTAGAATCATTTTTAAAACCAAATTCTGTATAATTAATTAACAAATCGGTTTCGATTATCGATTAGCATTGACCTTCATCGTCAGATTACTCAGCATAAACGACGACTCTGATCTAAGGTATTTGCTATTCGAGTACTTGTTATTGTTATTGCTACTTTTCGCAAGTTCGTTAATTGCACAAAACTTAGCCGATATTAAAGATCAAAGACCGAAAAAATAGTTGGCTGTATTCTAATGTGATTCCTTGTTCTACAAGCTTGTCGTGTTGACAGCTGGCTTGTAATAATTGTATACCCTGTAATCATTTCAAATGGGTCAATCGCAACTTATTAATCCTTTAGCCTTCGGGATTTCACATAGATCCTAAGATATGTGTTAGCGGTTTGAACCAGCGCCCTGCCATTGACATGGTTTGGCTCAAGCCTTGGCTTGTCTTATATTTAACAAATTGTATTAAAACAATTGAATTGTTCATTTATTTCGGGTTTTATCCGGAGTTATTCAGGCTACAGGGTATCTAGTAGTCGTTCAACTTGTTCTCCTAATGTAATATCTCAATTATCTATCGTTAATTAGACGCAAGCAATTGGAAAATCTACTGCGCTGCTATGAGGAGCATGAGAACGAGATTATCAGCGCCCTGGAGGCTGATTTGCGACGACCCAAACAGGAGAGTTTAATTGTGGAAACGGAATTCATGAAGAACGACATCAAGCACATACTCTATCATCTGAACGACTGGGTCAAGCCCGAAAAGGTGCGTCCTCTACAGTACTCCACAGAAATATATAATAGCTAAACTGATTAATTTCTTACAGCCGGACAAATCGTTTGTCAATATGCTGGACGATGTGCAGATCTATAATGATCCCTTTGGCGTTGTCCTGGTAATTGGCGCCTGGAACTATCCGCTGCAGCTGTTGCTGGTGCCCGTTGCCGCTGCCATTGCTGCCGGCAATTGTGTCGTGCTCAAGCCCAGCGAAATCGCCGGCAATTGCGCCAAGTTCATTGCGGAGACAATACCCAAATATCTGGATAATGTGCGTACATGAAACTTCAATTCAAATGCAATTTATATGATTTTACTTTATCTGAAACCAGGATTGTTATCCCGTCGTCTGCGGCGGACCCAGCGAGACGGCCGAGTTGTTAAACAAACGCTTCGATTATATATTCTACACGGGCTCCACGCGCGTCGGCAAAATTGTGCACGCGGCGGCCAATAAGAACTTGACGCCCACAACCCTGGAGCTGGGCGGCAAGAGGTAAGCTGCTGCCTATAAATGTATAAATTGTAGATTAACTTAGATTATTATTGCAGCCCCTGTTATATTGACAAGTCGGTGGAGTTGCGCACAGCTGTCAAGCGCATACTGTGGGGCAAGCTGATCAACTGTGGCCAGACATGCATTGCACCCGACTACATACTCTGCTCCAAGGAGATGGAGCAAAAGTTCATAGCCGAGGCCAAGGAGGTGCTCAAGGAGTGGTACGGCGACAATATACAAAGCAGCCCGGATCTGAGTCGTGTGATCAACCAAAACAATTTCCAGTAACTGAACGCCTTCTCTCTTATATAAATTGTATTTGTAATTTGCTTTTGTTTGGCCGTTTCAGGCGTCTGTTGGGTCTGATGAAGTCCGGTCGCGTTGCCGTGGGCGGCAAATACGATGCCAGCGAGCGTTTCATAGAGCCCACAATTCTAGTTGATGTTAAGCCAGACGATCCCATCATGGGAGAGGAAATCTTTGGCCCCATCTTGCCCATTTACACAGTTGAGAATGCCTACGATGCGATCAAGTTCATCAATGCCAGGTATGTCTGTTCGTTGCGCCAAGCCCAAAGCGAGTGTGCTTATATCTGAATATATAGTCATATTCAAATTTCATCTCGCCTATCATTGTCCTCGATCATCTATCAAAAACACACACAAACATACGATTTATTTTGTTTGTCCCCCGCGAAAATGCATTCGTTTATAATTTGATAATAATGCCAACACATGTTCCGTTGAAACAATCCACACAAAATTAGAGAAAATCCGCTCGTCCTGTATATTTTCACATCGGAAACAGAGGTTCTCGATCTGTTCGTGAATGGCACACAATCGGGCGGAATGTGCGTCAATGACACGATAATGCATTATGCCGGTAAGATCCTGAAAATGTAAATCAAACTATGTAAATGGATGCTATGCGACTTCAACTTTGGCTGCGGTTAAATATATGTATATATATATATATATCTATATAGATCTATATATGTATATGTATCTATATGGTTTATGCATCTGCCCTTTAGCTACTTGAACTAAGCGTAGTGCCTGTTAAGTTCTTAATTCTGCAACAACAATTTGTGCATAAAGGTTGCGGTTGCCACCCCCCCCCCCCCCCCCCCCCCCTCTCTCGTTTTTCACCCCTTTGCCCGCCCTCTGCCTGTGCCTAGTTTTGTCTTAAGTTTGCTAAATATTTGTAAGTAAATTGTTGTAAACAAAAAATCTGGTGACGGTTCTGTTGTAAAAATTGAATTTCATTTCTTTTAGCAAACCTCCTGATTTCTGTGTATATTAATGTCGCCCCTAATCCCTTATATGTATATATAAAAGAGTTTGTAGCATTACGACGAGTCTGAACTGAAGCTTCCGCAGAAAGTCTGATCTTTGAGTAGGTTAAACGCAGCCAGGCAAAAGTGACCTGCCTGAGCGTCGGACTGACAAGCGGGCAGTCGCCGGCTCAAATCTAGCGGCAATTATCAAAGAAATGAAGAAAGTTAGCATAAGGCGTGAAGAGAACTCGAGCTGCTTATAAACCTAGCTGAATTCGATTCGATATTTCTCAATTTATAATACCAAGTCATTCGATTTTGTAATTCATCAAACTCTCATGCGCTCTCCAGACTGTTCCAGTATGTGTTTTAGTTAATTAGTTTAGCATGTTTTGTATAATATTTTTGTAGCCAATCTGTAACTGTATCTTAATTGTTTTGTACTTCCTTTCCGCTTTAAATATAGAGAAAAACCACTTGTACTCTACGTGTTCTCGAACTCTAGTAAATTGATCAAAGAGTTCAAGTATAATACAACAAGCGGCGGATTCTGCAGCAACGAAACAATAATGCACGTCGGAGGTATATATGTACAAAAAAAGAAAAAATGTAGAAATTTAGTTTTTAATTGAGACTTGACATTTAATTTAGAGTCGTGTTTATGCAATTTGAATGTAGCACAAAATCGTTGAATGTTGACTTGTCCGCCCAGCTCGAAATTATATTGTAAATTGCAACATATTTATATTTTGCAAAAGTAACAAATCAAACCGAGACACAAATACCCTGCCAAGACACACACACACACACAACGCCTAGTAAATGTGTTTATATTAACAATTTGCTTGTCGGAATTGGTTTGAAATTGTTTATTTAATTGGCTTTTGATTTAATTGCGAAATGCTTGCTTGTGAAATAATTAAGCAATTTGTTGAGTGCGAATATTTAATTAACAACCGGGTGTTTGGCTGTGCAAATAAAACTAAATAATATTGCAGTGCTGCGACTAACACAATTATAATCCGTATATATTTGCTTTGGCATTGATAAATAACATTTTGGGATATCCCCTTAACAGTTGATACCCTGCCTTTTGGCGGCGTCGGCATGAGCGGCATGGGCAGTTATCATGGCAAATATGGATTCGATACCTTCACGCACAAGAAGTCGTGCCTGGGCAAGAACCTGGCCATGCTGGGCGAAAAGATGGCATCGTAAGTGGCATATTCTATGCATGTTTATATACACATATATTTAATTCCATTTTATATGCTATCGTACAGGGCACGCTATCCGCCGTATTCGGATCGGAAGAGTTCGCTGCTTTCGTTCCTGTTGCGCAAACGCCGTCCACTCCCCAATTTGTATCTGTCACACATATTTGCCGCTGGTCTTGGCATTGGGCTCACATTCTTGATGAACTATTATCTGCAGGTAAGAAAGGTATATTGTGCAGCCGAGGCATTTGTTTGTGCCAATATTAATCAATGCGATTATTTTACATGCATATCATACGTATTTCATCGGGCCAACTACACCAAATCCCAATCATATGTGCACCACACACGCATATTTGCATAAATTCCAATTCATGCCCAACCTACGTCCAACTTTCTAGGGCAAGCTGTTGTCGCGCTAGAACCCATTAAATCTATGGGTCGGACTTGGGCCGTAACACACCATGAGCCAGTGGACTTTTGTCATTTATACTATATTTGGATTCGCATTCGCAGTAAATGCACAAGCATTTAGTATTAGTTAATTTGTTCTAATGGGCTTTGTGCTTTGTACTAACTAGTATATTAAGTATTAAGCATTTAATTACAAAAAAAAAAAAAAACAACTTGATATACATAAAACATGCATCCTTTAACCCATTTACAATGTAAATAACCTTTTCAATTTGATTGTACACTTGAAAAACATAACATAACACGTATATATTTTCTCTTATTTAATTGTTTTTATTTACAATTCAATGAATCGATTTATATTTTCAGAAATCAGAATCAAACTAAATATGAGCATGTACTTTTGTACTTTTAATACGCAAAACGGTGGGTGATGTAATGCTATTGGATACTCCGCTTTATACTAGTTATTGTTATTTAGTTGCTATTTAAATAAACACAAAAATAAATGTTAAAAAAAAAAACAAATATAGCTTTAAGCCGCTCGTTACATTTATTTAAAATGCCCGCCCAACAGTGTTGCCATATGGCGGCGGGCGATAACAGCGATAACATCGATTTGAAGCAACCATGCGTTTTGGCATTTTAAGCATATTTATTAAAATGTGTATAGGGGCACACTGGCGCCAATATTAATTTTTAGAGTCACACTGAATTTTTGTCTATCATTATCCGTTCACTTGGCTTTTATAATTTATTTTGTTTTGGACAGAATACCGTATAAAAACATCAACAAAATGGCCGCTCGCGGCGATCTAATTGCACAATTCATTGAAATCACTGGCAGCGATGAAAATGTTGCTCGTTTCTATCTGTCCAGCTGCGACTGGGACATTGAGGTAAATTTAACAGAAACCCATTAACAAAGAAAGGTCAAAACATGAAATGAAAATTTTATATAAAACCTAAAGCAAGCACTTGGCAACTACTGGAGCACACAATCGGACCAACCGGCTATTCGCACACTAGTGGGACAGTCAGAAAACCCGACACCGGCACCGGTAACAACTTCAAGTGCTGCCGGCGCCAGCGCCAGCGCTGGCCCCGCCGCCGCATCGGCAACAGCCGCTAAAGCTGTGCCGGCGGCAACTAGTGCTCCACCAAAGGCTTCAAGTGCTAAACCAAAGTAAGCAATTTGGTTAGTTTGTGTGTTGTCCCTTGACCTATTCTTGGTATTTAGGTTCGCCACGCTCAGCGACATGTCCAAGCAGTCGTCCAGCGATGATGAGCATCAAGCCTTTTATGCCGGCGGCTCTGATCGTTCGGGCCAGCAAGTCTTGGGACCGGCAAAGCGTAAAAACTTTCGCGAACAACTAACCGATATGATGCGCTCCGCTCAGGAGCAGAACATTGCCGAAGTGGGCGTCGGTCCGTCGACCAGCGCCACGGCAAACGTAAGCGGCGGCAATGTTTGGGGGCAGGGCATGCGTCTGGGCATGACCAACAATGATCACACGTCAGTGGGCGCCAGTCGCCCGGCACAGCCAACGGAAAACAAGCCGGTTGTGGTACTTAAGCTCTGGAGCCAAGGCTTCTCCATTGACGGGGGCGAGCTGCGTCACTATGATGATCCGCAAAACAAGGAGTTCCTGGAGACGGTGATGCGTGGGTAAGCCGAAGGCATTTGGTATTTAAAAAAAAAAACATGTGTTTTCACATTGTCTACTCAGGGAAATTCCACAAGAACTGTTGGAAATGGGACGCATGGTAAATGTCGATGTAGAGGATCACAGACAGGAGGACTTCAAGCGTCAAGCAGTGCCACAAACCTTCAAAGGTTCCGGCCAGAAACTGGGCAGTCCCGTAGGCAACATTGTGAGCAACAAAGAACCAGCCGCTACGGCTACCCTCGCACCGGCCGACGTGGCCAACCAGGAGGCCAGTGCACGTGATGCCATCAATTTGAATGCTGAAGCTCCATCAACCACACTCCAAATACGTTTGGCAGACGGCTCGCGCCTGGCGGCTCAATTCAATTTGACGCACACCGTCTCGGACATACGTCGTTTTATACAAAAGTAATTTGAAGTTATACCGTTTCTGTAGGCAATCATTAAAACGCTTGATTTCTTGCAGCGCACGTCCGCAGTACTCGAACAGCAATTTCGTGCTGGTGTCGTCGTTCCCAACACGTGAGCTAAGCGATGACAGTTCCACAATTGAGAAGGCTGGCCTTAAGAATGCTGCGCTGATGCAACGCCTTAAATAAACTGTTCACTGTTCAGATAAAAGATACAACAAAATAATAATAATTAAAATACAAATGGATATGGTGCATTCAAATTGCAATACAACCCATAAACAAAAACAATACAACTACAACATTCGCAAAATACTTTGTATTGCCAATTCGATGTTTTATAATTGTCTATTTCTTATATATACACAATATAAAATTGAATCGTGTCCATTGGAGAATTGTCGTGGCAAATGCGTTATTACGCTTTATGGCAGTCAATTTGAAATCTCAAGCTTATGCTAACTAGTGTGCTACTTAGACTAGGCGTATTACTATTCAAATGAGTAAATCGACCTCATTGCGCAGATCATTGATGTGATCCATCAGATCCGCGCGCACCCCATTGCGCCAGTCGTGCAGCCCGTCTGCGCCCACCTGCTGACAGTCGACATAGCGATGCGCCAAGCCGCTGGATAAAGGCAGCTCAACGGTTGTTGCTGTTGGCAGCAAGAGCTGCGCCGCCGGCAGCTCCAAGCGGTGAAGCAGCAATTTGTAGGGCAACTTCAGCTCGGGATCGTATTGCACATTATCGACAAGCAACTTTTTGCGCTCATCAAAGCAAACAGCAAAAGTGGCCAGCTCGAAACGTGGCGTTGCCGTGGCATGAACGCGCAGCAGCTGCTGCACGGAGCCCTTGCCCAGTTGGCTAGCGAAGCGTGCGTTCGGATACACCAGCTCGTTCGGTGTGAGCAGCATGGTGAAGCTGGCATAGTTCACATTGCGCAGCAGGCAATCCGTCTGCAGCAGCTGTCGTATGCGTGCGGCGGTTGCGTTTGTTTGCAGAAACGGAAAATTGAAGGGCAATGCATATAAGTGCATGTTGGTGCGATCCAGTAGGCGCACGACTTCTTCCGGCAGCTCGTCATAGTTGTAGACCAAAAAGTGTTCCACGCCCAGCGCCTGATGAAACAGAAAGAACTGCAGCATGGCATCCGCATTGCGTGCAAATCGCGTGCTCTGATCAAAGCTGACCAAATCCACGCAAATTGTGGCCGGCAGCCGCACCTGGCCGCTGGCAACTGACGCTGCTGCGGTTGTGGCTTTGGCAGCTGGCTTAGCATCTGCTTTGGCAGTCGCCCGTTTGAGGTGGCGCAGGCGCAGTTTCACCTGTCGCTTGATGGGCGACGTCGTATCGCTAAATAAAACATACTGCGGCTGGCCGAAATTGCGGCTCACTTGACAGAAGAAATTGTAGTTGGTGAATGTGCTGGCCTTGTCATCGACCACGCCCTCGGCGGCATCGCGTTGAAAGCGAAACTTGCCCTGGACACTGCGTCCGCCCACGTCGAAGCTGCAGCGAAAATCGACAACAGCTCCCTTTTTGCCGACAACAATAACGTGCGCCTCTCCACCGACGACCAGCTCCTTTTGTTTCCTAAACAATGCGTATTTCAATTAAGAATATCATTATATTAGACAGTTTACTGTACCAGTACGCGGAGTAGGCATAGAAGGAGTCACCTATTAGCTGCCAAACCGGCAGCGGCTTGGAGAATGCCGATTTGGACAAATGCTGCAGATCTTCGCCTGCTGTGCCGTTCTGTAGGCGTCGCAGGACGGCTGCATCATTGCGGCCAAAGAAGTTGACATACTTTAACACATATTTAAGGCGATTGTTTTCGCTTTTGTACATCAAAAGGACGCCAATGCTGAAACAGGATATCAGCAGCAGCGCCAATTGCTGATATTTTCGCATTTTTTGTCGCCTTTTTCAACTCTAAACGGGAAATGTCCCGTACGACAAGCAGCGTACAGTGTTGCCCTATCGTGCGATTTAATATGCACCAAGACTACAACAGTTTCTTCTCACGTTTGCGACAGTCAAGGGAAAACAAAGAAATTGTTTAATTAGTTTATTCATGTTTTACATTAATTATAGAAATTACACAGTATTTGACTGTCGTTTTGATTCACAGCGCCTACAAGTCGAATGAATTACAGTATATACGTACGTCAGGGTATTCGCTATTCGGCTGTGCGTAATGTGTTCTGCTTCTTATGGGCAAATATTGTTCTCGTAGGGTCACACTGACTTTACCACCTCTCTTGAAATAAGCTCAAATTAAATCTCTTTTTTTTATGATTTCCACAATGAGCGCCAAGGAATCAAAAGCCCTCATCAAGGACATACGAGAAACAATAAAGCTGGCCAAATACGGAGACGCCATACACAAATGCCAAGTGACGACAAATTCCAATATGAGTTCTCTTCGTTTTCATTTTGCTGATGTGACGTTCATTTCAGCGACTACTCAAAAGCGACCCAAAGAATCATATGGGCTACCTGTTACTCGGCGCCGCCTACCAGTACGTGAACAAGTCCGAGGCGGCCAAATATCTGCGCAAATCCATCGAGTACACAGACGGACCGGCCACCGTCGCCCTGCAGGGGCTGGCAAATTGCGCGCCAACTGCGGAGCTGCCCCAGATTTATGATCAGCTTGTGGACTTAGTGCCGTAAATGCAGCCAGCAAAAGCTAAACAACAACTCTTATATACGATTCATAATTATAGTGAAAAGTGCTTGGACTACTACGAAAAGATCTTTGCACTGGCCTCGGATGCGGCATTGTCCAAGGTCTGTTTGGGCATATTCAAAAAGCGAGCTGAAAATCCGAATGACAGCAATTTCACTAAGATTCTGGAATATCTGGGCAGAATATGGTTTTCCAGCGAAATGGAGATATCAACTGCTGAGAGCCAGCTTGTAAGTAGGTTCCTTCTTGCTCGGCAAGTCATTAAATTCTCATTTATTTTGCGTTAGTACAAAATGAGCATGGAACATCTCGTGACTGCCGCAGATACAGATCTGAAGGGCATGGTATATAAACGCTATCTGAGGTGGCTCTACAAGCAACAGGACTTTGTGTCCTGCATACGCAACGCCTGCAACATGACCGTGTCGCATCCGCGTGATGTCTACGGCTACGAGTGGATATGCAAGACCTATTGCGAGAACCATGATCGGGCGCACAGCGAGGCCTGGCAACGGGAACTGCCCCTATCTATACATACATACGCCGAGCAGCTGCTGGCACTGAATCCCAACTCAAATTTGGCATTGCTCGTCAAGGCTTTGGATCTGTTTGCCCAGGAGCAGTATATTCAGGCACGTCAGTTGGCGCTGCAAGCGCTGGAATGCCAGCCTGGCTACAGGGTGGCCCAACAATTGCTGGCGCGCATCCATATGAAATTGGGTGCACACAGAATGGCGCTGCTGCTGTGGCAGGAGCTGGGCGAACAGCACGAGGAGTATGCGCAGTGTCTGTCATACGGGAACGATGCCAAACAGCTGCAAGAAGCTGTCAGGCTTCTTAAGGACAGCCCATCTAAAGGCGAACTAAATATCAAGGCTTTGGCGCGCTGCTATTGCAAGCTAGGCGAAACGCAGCAGCTGCAGAGTTTGCCCTTGGATGCGGTCACACGCGCTGAATATCTATTGTAAGCTATATAGTTTGCACGACACGTTATGCTTTTATATGTCTTATGTTTTTTGTAGAACACCCACCGAAGCGCTGCAAGCTATGGCCAGCAACGAGTCCTTTGAGGCACAACTCTTGTGTGGCAAGCTGCACATGCAGCTGCAGCACTATGCCGAGGCACTCAACTGCATGCTGAAGGCCGCACGACTGCAGCCGCACATTGCCGAGTGCTTTGAGCATTTGGCCCGTTTGTATCAGACGAATGGCGACATTTCACGCGCTCGCAAATGCTACGAGAAGTGCGTCAGTCTCAATGCCCTGGCCGAACAGGCTGTAGATGCCCTCAGCTGCATCTATCAGCAGCTGGGCGAGGAGGAGCTAAATGAAGCACTTCTGCTGAATACCCTGCGCCACATGAGCAACGACGCGGATGGCATTCGCTTTCAGTACAAACTGGGCTTGCACTTTTTGCAAGTCAAGAAACTAGATAACGTAAGTCTAAGGGCTTTAATTATCAACTGAATATACATCTTTCTATTGCACATTTCTTTTAGGCGATTCAATACTTTCGCATTGTCATTAAGCACGATTTTAAATGCATGGCCCATTGGGAATCTCTGGGCGATGCTTACGCGGCACGCGGCTCCTACAATTCCAGCATACGTGTCTTTCAAAAAATACTCGAGCTTTCGCCCAACAACTGCTATGCGAAACTCCAAATTGGTGTCATCAAGACGGTTATTATAATGAGAATATTGAATGTAATACCTTTATGTTAATATATTATTTCCTTCCAGACGATACGCATGTATCCCGAGGCAATTGCCGACTTCGATGAGCTTCTCAAAGAGCATCCGGATTATTTGCCGGCCTTAAAAGGCGCTGCCGAAGCGCACATTGGCCTGGCGCACAACCTTAAAACTCAGAATCTTTATGGGCGCGCCAAGGATCATTTCCAACTGGCTCTTGGACATTTGCAAAGGTCTGACTGATAACAGATATATCTTATATCAGCTGACCCACATTTTGCATCTTCACAGCGCTTTCTTGGACACCAAGGCTCAGGGCATGGTTTGGTTGTGGCGCCTCACGGCCAGCGTCTTGGTGCAGACAGCGCAGTTGCCCCAGTCTCTGGCCAATTTGGATGTGGCTGGTAGTTTGGCCAAGCGAGAAGAGGAAATCGCTTATCTGTCACGCAAGGATCTATTGCAGCTGGCGCAAAGATTTTATCTGTGCGCCTTGAAGCTAAAGCAAAACACATATTTGTGGTACGAATTGGCTTTGTGCAGCTACTACAGCGCCGTCTATATGCCAGAGGATGCAAAGGCTCACCTGGAGACTGCCACCAAGGTGTGCAAAATGGCCATCAAGGAGAGCCCGAATCGCTGGCACAACTGGAATCTGTTGGGCGTTGTCAATATGCACGCCGCCAACGAGAATCTGCCTGTGGCGCAGCATTGTTTTATTCAGGCAGTTGTGCTGGATCGAAAATGCTACACGGCCTGGACAAATCTGGGCGTGCTGTACATTAAGCTGAACGATATACGATTGGCCAACGAAGCCTTCAAGCGTGCCCAACAATCAAGTCCCGTCTATCCAAATGCCTGGATTGGACAGGCCCTGGTGGCCGAAATAATTGGCGAGCGAGAGGAGGCATTTGATCTCTTTCGACATTGCCAGCAATTCGGCTATCATCCGGAGGCAGCACTAGGCTATGCACACTGGGTGTGCCATGAACTTTCCAATCCGCATGCCAAGAAGCATATCTATGCGGATGTCTATGCCTTGGATGCCATCAATTGGTATGTTATATTCATTTAGTTTTCCGCGATTCCATTGATTGTCCTTTGTTTCGTTGTTTCCAGGTATATACAAAACGAGGAGGCGGAGGCCAGCGTTTCGTCGTTAACTATTCAGGGATTCTTGTGCGCACGCCTGAAACTGTACCAACAGGCAATCAATGCATATAAACGCGCTTGCAAAGAGTCGGAGCCGGGTGATGATCGTGACAAGCTATATACAAATTTGGGCTATCTTTACTTGAAGCTGGGCCAGCCCGAGCAGGCGGTTAGCGCCCTAAACACGGTGGCCCATGCCACATTTAAGCCCATAATTGGTTTGGCCTTAGCCTATTATCGCTCTGGTCAGCTCCAAGAATCGTATTCGATCTATAACTCGGTGCTCAGCAGCGTTGTTGGACAGAATGATGAAAAGGCAGCAACTATTTTGGTGGCAATGGCCTCCATGGTCTATGCCTATCAGGGCGAAACGGATACCAAAACATTGCTATATCAATGGTAATCAAATCAAATTAGCCTACAATCTTTGCCAAAGCTAATCGACTTGCATTTCCTTCACCATAGCATACTACTCAAAGACGTGCCTATCCAGGCATTGTTCTCGGCCTGTGCCCTGGGTGTACTGCATCGGGACAACGAGCTGATTCAGATTATTATGTCTGAGCTGCGGGCTTACCATTTCAACGAGACGCACTGCGCAGATGTGGCCTACCTTACGGCCCACAACTGCTTAATCAATGTAAGCTATGCCGATTGGCTTTAACCATATCACATATTACATTAAATTTCTATTACTCTGCTCAGGAGGGTCCCCGCCAGGCTCTTAACTACCTACAAAAACGTGTACGCATGTTTCCTCACAACGCTGCCCTGCGCAAGATATTTGTCAAGTTTCTGCTTGACTATTTCCATGAGGATTCCGCCTATCAACGCGCCATAGCAAATATGGCTTTGATTGCCCTCAAATTGGGCCACTCCAACATGGGCGACAGGTATGCTATTTCTCCATATATATTCTCCACTTAGTTAACTATTCTTTTTTGTTTTAGCATTAAAGCCAGCGAGCAGTCGGAAACGACCATCCTTGCCAGTCGCGCTCTGGAGCCTGTGGACAAGGAGCATTCTCTAAAACTCATTCAATGCGCCATACGCATGAATCCAATCAATCAGCAAGCAAGGCAATTGCTTGCCAGCATAACTGCGTGATAGTCCGAAAACGAATTAAAAATTAAGAACAATAAAATAGTTTAATTTTTTAACTATAAAGGAAGGAAAGAGAAAAAGTAAAAATCCTTCGAGCCGGAGTCGAACCAGCGACCTGTGGATGTCTACAAGATTTTCTCACTACAGTCCATCGCTCTACCAACTGAGCTATCGAAGGCGCGTATCAGTGCAGCACCCAATAGCATTCACTTAACGACAGCAAAAACCCAACATTTTCCGACCGAAAGGTGTTGCAAAACACCAAAAAGCTTTCGTGTGTATGTGTGTGAAAAAGGCAGTATTTTTTTGTTTAGTG